TTATATTATATAAATAAATAGGTTGATCTATCAGGTTTAATCGACTTTTCTATAAGCTTAAGTCTAACCTTTTTATATAAATAGACTTTTTTAAAAATTTAAGCATGACCTTTTTATTAAAAAAGTTAGGCTATGTCAAATTTTAAAGAGGTCAGGCCATAAGTCTCTATTTAAGGTCTAATTTATTCTCATCTCTAGCGATCGAATTAGACAAGTATTGATCAACAGAATTGGTAGTCAATGGATGGGTCTAAGAGTGTGATCCTAAATAATGTAATTGGCAGGAAGTCTAAGAGTGAGATTATCTCATATATTGAAAGTCTCCCTAGAAGTTTGGAGTGTGATCCTGAATAATGGAATTAACAAGAGATCTAAGAGTGAAATTCTGAATAATGGAATTGGCAAGAGATATAAGAGTGAGATCATCTCTTGTCCTAAAAGTCTCCCAAGGGATTTGGAAGATGTGCAATGACAATGCAAGTAAGGCCACCATTGAGTACTTGTAGATGGAAAAAAAGACTTTTACATGAAAGGAAGCATGATCATGTGAAAGAGATTCACTTCAGAGAAAATGTTAGAGTTCAAATATGAAGTAAAGTCTCATATTGATTAATTTTGGACATGTTAAGTAATATATAAGTGAGAAAAATTTACCTACCTAATATTTTTAAATTTTAGGTTATGTTGTGCCAAGAGAAAGTCTTTAATCTATATTTTTGGTTTGCAGTATCTAGCGAGTTTGCATAATTTGGAAAAATCTTTAATGCAATGTTTCTCCGGTTATCCCGTGCTAATTGTTTGCTCATACAGTACTGCATTAGTTGGATCATGGGTTGCACTTTGCATTCCGTTTGACTACAATATCATGATGCTAATTATACTATTTTATTGTCAGCTAAATGATAGAGATGCGTCCCCTCTTCCTCTCAATTAGAGGTGGAAATATATCTAAATTAAGCTTTACAAGACTTCGCACCTGTTTTTTAAATCAAAAGCTCAAGTCTAACATGTTTATGTAACATAAACTCTTAAAAAAGGCTTATCTTAATATATTTAAAAGTATAATATGAACTTAAAATATATTTAAAATCCTATTTTTCAGTAAGAGCTATTAAATAAGATTACAAATATACATTTAAATAAGTAAAAAAAAAAAGAAGAAAAAAAAGCTACGCTTATATGTAAGTTAACAAGCTTTAGACCGTATTTGAAAAAGTTTATTAATCGTTTATTTGGGTTTATCAAATTGAATAACAAATGTATAATAGTAAAATATTAAAGTAAAAACTTAATCAATAACTAATAATAATATTATTTTTGTTACATTATGAGTGTGTTTAGTAAGACATTTTAGAAACCTATAGTTCATAAGTTAGTTTCATCAAAGTTCGTGTAGCACGAGTTTATAAAGAAGCATAATTCTATTTGCATTTAGGATGCACAAGTTTTTAAGTACTAAATTGAACAGCTTTAAGGTTTGATTTTGAAAGATTAAAATGGGGTCGTGGCTACCTCAACTTCATACACTTGTACAACTACCATAATATTCATAGTTGAATTTATTCATAAACAAAAACATGCTGCGTATAATTAAAACTCTGGTAGAATAAACGGGTTCCATTATTAACTCGAAGGGAGTACGTGCTCCGAGCAAAAACATACAAAATACAGGGGGAAATAAAAACAAAGAAATGATTAGCATGTCATTGGAATTGACTTTGACTTCATTGAACTACACATGTTGATGTTTTATTCCTGTAAATATGATGAATGCGGATAAAATACAATAAAAACTAATGCATATGAATATTTAGTGCAAGCTCAAAATACTTGTATTTATAATTGTTTGTTGTAAATAAAGGTTAAAATATTTTTTAGTGACAATTCATGAGCCAATTTTCTTGTAGTGTATTGGTATACATATTACTAGTATTTTAACCTGTGCATAATATATGCTAAATGTGTATTATACCTAATTAAAATTTATAATAAATTATATATACAAAAAAATATTATATTTAAATACATAAATTATATTTAAAATTTATATAAATATATATTTTTAAACATATAAATTATATTTTAGATTTATAATAATGTATATAATAGGAATAATGATGATGAGATTGGTGACGACAACGGTAATGATCTAAAACAGTAGTAGTAGAAGTGGTAATGCTGTGTTGGACGATGATGGTAAGGTTCATAGTGATGTTGATGTTGGTACATCATAGTAGTGATTTATTTATAATTGGGGCAAAAGTTGTCTCGTGATTTAAACTTTTGTCATGTGTCTTTTTGTTCTCTCTCATAATCTTTTTACAAGTTAATCACAAAATAATTATATTTATCATGTCTAATATTATAATTATTGTCAACACTTGGTAATAGATAGAGAAAAAGCAAAAGATATAAATATGAAAGGTAATAAGATATATGATAGGAAATGAAAGATAAAGAAAATTGAAAAATATTGATGTGATGTTTAAAAAAATAAGTATCTAAAAATTACTACTTGATGTGAAGCTCTAATTTTAACATATAAGATAAAGATTGTTTCTCATTAATATACATTATTTTAGTCATACTCATATCATTTATAAATCTGATGTTTTTAACACATTCCTCACACATATATTATAAACATCTCAAGCATAAATTTTGTATAAATAAATATTTGCAAGCTTATCTCACCCTAAGAAATAGTTTGAACCTAACTCAACATTACAAATCTATCTTTTCACTTATGCACTATTTTTATCCATACCACTGGTAGATGAGATATTTTTGATAATTTTGACAAAAAAAAGAACTAAGAAATTGTATTATTTAAGACTTTTCCTAACCTAAACTAAAAATGTTGTACAGAAGATCGGGAAGAACTTATAACCATTAATAAATATAACCAAATGGCTGATGCAAAGTGTAGAGATCAATTAACTAATTAATTCATGTTCCAAACATACGTGGATAGTAGAACAACACTAACTAGCTTATTGCTTAACTTAATTAAGGAATTTCCCAAGTCCAGCCTTGCATTTTGAAATAGTGGTCATACGTATATTAAAATCAAGTGTTGTCTAACAGCTTGCTTGTTTTGTCAACTTATGGTGCTTTTCCTGTGGCTATATATATATGTGCAAGATAAACTAGTGAACTAGGAAAATAGTTGCATAGTGTTTCCAATCTCATCATCTCATATATATATACAATTATATATTCTGTGTCTATTCAAAATGTATAACGGTGAAGGTACAACACAAACACCAAAGATCAACGCTCCACCAACTGGAAAATGGACAACAGGTTTATATGATTGCTGTGACGACACTGGAAATTGTAAGTTCATCTTGTGTGAATTCACTATGATGTGTATATCACAAAATTATGTGTTGTTTCTTTTCTAATTCAGACATTTGCACATGATTCAGTTGCTCGGATCAGAAAGCATAACAAAAAGAGTGCGGTATCAAATGGCTATGACTTACAAACATATTTTTAGTACATCTATGAAAAGTAGAAAAACTTGTTTTGGTACAAGTGATTATATTATATCTAGTTAGTTAATTACATACATATATATAATCAAAAGTTCCAACACGGTTGAGACAACGGTATGAAAAAAACATAGACAAAATATATTTAACTGATTTGCACATTTTAAAATTAATAAGTTTCTGAAAATTAATAAAGTTCTGACTACATATCGATTGAAATTTTTTATTTACTCAATGTATATATATACCCTCACCAATAAATACTTAAGACCATAAGTGTTTTTAGAAAAAACTTGTCCAAAAAGTTCATTATTTTTGAGAATTTGGTTTCAAAAATTTATATATAGCCATATATATAATAGGCATAGTAGTTCTCAATAAATTTGATATATGCCAATTAACTACTTATTTTACTTTCATCTTAACTTTTCGAGAAATTAACCTTTCCCCTGAAGGTTGTCTTACATGGTGCTGTCCTCGTTTCACCTTTGGTCGGAATGTAGATATTATTGATCAAGGAAGAACATGTGGGTAAACTTATATTTCTAAATTTAATGGTTCCATTTTGAAGTTGCTTACGTTGTCCTCAACAAACCTATATAGTTAATTATCTCCCTCATAATTATTTTCCTAAAAAATGATGGAAATATAATTGCAGCTCCTACAATTGCACGTTTGATTTTTTTTGCCCTGGGATGTTTTGGGTTGGCAAGCTTATATACATGCGGATTCAGAAGCAAACTAAGAGCCATCTACAACTTACCAGAAGAACCATGTTCGGATTGTTGCGTTCACTATTGTTGTTTACTTTGTGCTATTTGTCAAGAGTACAGAGAACTTAAAAACCGTGGACTGGACCCCTCACAAGGTATAAATATAATTACTATATATGCACACATAAATATACAACTATTTGTATAATATTATATTCACAAATTCTAATTAATTACATGTATATCTAGGTTGGAGGGCAAACGAGGAAAGACTGAGAAGAGCAAATCTAGTACCTCCACATGTTGCGCCAGCCATGACTCGCTAGAATTTCTTAAGTCTAGGATTCATTTGTTGTCCTATATCTTACTTGTGCGTAATTTGTTTCTTAATTACCTGTTTGTGATTTTCCTTTGGAGAGCAATAATTACCTTTGTACTTTATATTAAGTGTTCTCTTGTTTTGTTAGTTTCGTTTTGTATTAATTATATCTTCATTATTACATTTTAATTCTTTAATAATATTTTCTTTTTTATATTTATTAAAATACTACTATATATTGAATAAATAGATTATTTTTGCAACATTTTTTTAAAAATGTTATTATAAATAGAGTAATATTTTATATTTCAATATTATTCTTTTATTTGTTTTCAAAATTAAAGTCTTATATTGAATAAAAAAATATCATATATATTATTTTGCAACATTTTTTTTAAATATTACTACATATAAGTAACATTTTTTATCTTAACATTATTTGTTTTAATTGCTTCTAAAATCAAAGTTTCACATTGAGAAAAAATGTATTCTTAACTCCAAAGGTTTGCAGCAACAACTAAACACTAGCACCACTACTTTAAGATTCTTGGGGAACTAAAAGAAGAAAAAGGAAATGAAGATGAATATATTCTAAGCACCATACAAACTTTCAAGTTTCACAAAAGAACACTACTTCTAATGCGTTATGTTACACACATCACTAAAAGAGTAATAGGATTACGTTATCATCAATTAAAATTTAATTAACAGTGAAGGAATATAAAATTAATGATTAGATCAAAATTCTGTATTTTTTAAAATTAAGAGATTAAATGTCTCTATTTTAAAATAAAATATTAAAATTAAGAGTTGACAAAAAAATAAAAAGGCTAAATTATTCATTTAGTATTTTCTTTAATTATTGCTTACATTTATATTTAATCACTAAATAAATAAAATCAATAAATTTGGTTTAACAATTAAATCATTTATGAAAATAACCTTGCCTGACACATCAGCAGGAGCACCCATTATTCATCTGGATAAACAAACATGGCTAGAAAAATACAGCTTACCTATAAAAGCAGATGAATCTCCAAGCCTAGAGATAGTGGCACCTCAGCAATTGCTGGCACAAAATCTATCAACATTGTATATTTGTATGTAGATTTTGGGATACCACAAAACATTCTCATGCACAACACCAAAAATGATTTTGTGGCAATTTTTATGTTATTTAGCGACCATACAAATGGCCATTAATATCTTTACCGGCAATTAGATTATGGTCGTTGTATGTGGAGCCGGTAAAACTATTAGTGGCATTTAAAGTGAGTGTTGGTAATAAAGACATTTTAAATGGCCGGGAAAAATAAAAATTTTTAATGACAATTCTAGTGACAATTTTAATGGCCACTAGAAGTAATTTCATTAAATAATAGATTCTCATATATGTAAAAAAAATTGTATAGAAATACAATTGAATCTCATTAGATAAAATAATTTATTTTGATAGCATATTAATACTCAATTAGTTAAATTCAATTAAATAAAATTATTTTTAGTCCATGCATTGAAATTGATGAGGGAATCAAATTCAATTTTTCATCCATTGAATTTTTTTATTAAAAAAAACTACTTTCTTTACTAATATTCTCATCCACCATTTCTCATAAAAATAATGAGAATAATAAATTTTTTATGAGTACTCCATATTTGCAATAACACCAAATACCCATTTATTAGAGTAAGCAAAATTTATGAGTTTATCATGTCCTTGAGATACCAAGGAAACCATTGAAAAGACAAAATGAATAGTCAATGATGTCATGATCCAAAGAAATTACAACAAAGGTCTCTTATGATTTAGAGCTATTTGCTAAAATGTCTAAAAGGTCTTCATCAATTGTAATTGAATCCTGCAAAGCACAAAATAAACAAATGTCCTCCTTCAATGCAGGTTCATCAATTTCCTGTTAACAATATAACATTTAATGTACTATCAAATCAAATGCAATATTACAACAAAAGAATAACATGTGCATAAGAAATGGATTAGGCTCAATACCACGTTATACTTTAAAAGAGAAAATGAATTTGCTGAAATGGAGTATATGAACATAATTGTAATTACTTCAAACAAACATTATGGCGTATCTGATGGCTCTAGCTAACCCTTTCTTTGACAACCAAAAAGTTCCTAAATTCAATCTAGAAAAAGGTGGGGTGCATAGTGGCCATATTCAACGTGGACTTACAAGCCAAATTTTCAAAATAAAACACTGGGGAAACCTGTTGTGTTTGACATGGACATGAGTGCAGGGGATTTTCTAGCTCTATTTTACCTTCTAAAAGTGTCGGTTCAAGTAATCAACCTTAAGGTATTTGATTTTTTTCATTTTTTTTTATTATTTCTTTAAATTTAATTGTTCTACATTAAACTAATCCCAATGGCGATTGTATGGATTAACGACTACATCACGTGTAAGGGTGTAGAAAACATTGTGAAATTTAATGCCAATGTGTGACAAATAAAACTCACAAAATGTAGTAAAACCTATTTAATGACGTTAACAAAAAGCTACAGTTTTTTACACCACAAACTTACGGGTAGAAACACAAGACCATGCAAGAAGCCAATGATAACCAAAGCCAGATACATCTGGAAGTAATACACCTGCAAAGATCCGAAAGCTACTTTAACATTTCTTGAGCAGACAATCTAGTGTTGGAGCCAAGGTGATATGTCACATACCACAAAAATTTCTGATGTTGAGAAGCAAAGGACGAGAACTCCAACTAATTTTGTAAGTGTGATTCCACTGCCAAGCAAAGATAAATAATACAGAAAGAAAAATGTCAAAAATAATAATGTAGACAGACACTAATAATTCAACCACCAATCAAATAATTTTTGTAACGAGTTATTTCTCTGACAACAGAGCAAGAGTTATATCAAAGCTCCACTACCAAATAACTTATAAGATAAACTTGTCACAAAGTCCAATGGATCAAAAGTTCACATGTTAAATTTCTTGTGCATGTGTATCTAATTCGATTTTGTCCGATAGTGATATGATTATTTGAAAATATAGGATATGGTGTAAGATACATATTTAGATATGTATAAAATATAGAAGAATGCACTCAACCAACCAACCCAGCCACTCTGCATGTCCACCCATAATTGCCGCTGAGTGGCTGACTAGAAGTCTGAATATCCCTTCTTTCTTACCAAGGATATGGATCCTAAGAACTAATATTAGTACAAGTCGAAGCCACCTTGGTGGAAAACTCAGCAGAAGTGATCATGGACTAGTCATATTAAAATTCTAAGGCTCCACAGTGTATCATGAATTTGATAGTAAGATGTTACACAAAAGTAACCTAAAGAAAAACTGTGAAATGAAATTAAGTAATACAATGTCTAATAAATAATTATCATTCATGGATAAATTGGAAATTGCCTTTGCTGCTAGTATGCGAACAGCTTCATCATTATCTTTTCTAGTAAGCTTGAGCAAGGAAGTGAGGTCATCATCTTGAACCATATTGTTTTTGTTAACCTCTACATCAAAAGTAAAAGTCTTTGAAACATCTAGTGGCTCCCTACAGGAAGGTGATGGCCAAAGATCAGGATATCCAGTACCCCTACAAAAATTAATAAAACTTTTTTAATTATGAAGATTGAAAAATAAAATTTATAAAATTATGAAAACTAAAAACATAATTAAACCTTTGTCGAAAGTTATAAAAATAGCGATAGAATTAAATAACACGTTAGACCTGCAAAATGTTGCAAATTAGAAAATAAGTAAATAAAAGAAGACTGTGTTAAGATTTCTCATGTAATAATAGAATAACAGACAAAAGGTTTGTAGAGAAAAGACTAGTGAAGTAGTAGTTTCCCTGTTTAAAACTATTCCCCCCACCCCTCACCAAATGGCCAAAATTATTATACTCCTATAAAAAATAGTAGATAATAAAAATTTAGTAATTATTATTTTTATTTAATAATCATATATTACTTTACAACTGCTTATATAAAAAAATGGTTATTTTAATTAAATATATCAATTTATAAATAGTACGTAATGTTTGATCTATAATAGTGACCATCTCAGGTTGAAGAATCACTTGTTCATAAGTGAGTTCTTCGTGTTCCATCTTTTCTCATTGTTGAACTTGTGAAGTGTGCCTAACATTAGCAATATTAATTGTTGTAACAGGAGGCTCATATTTTCAACCTCTTTGGATATCAAGCTGGTGTATGTGTTGGATTGTAGTCTTTTGGAATCTGACTTTGGATAGGAAGACTTGATTCAGACTGCCTCTTTTCAGGTAATGCACTACCAGAGATCTGCTCCTTGACAGGACCTGAGAAACTTGACCAATACAATAAACAATAAGCAGAGCACCATTAAATTATTTAATGGAAAGCCATAAGATCGAAGTAAAACATAAGATTTAGGAGGAAAAGGTAAACAGAGCTATAAGTTTGACAGCACAAAACCAAGTTCTAGTTTTACCATGCAAGAAAAACACACTAAGCAACTTGAAAGTTATGATTAACAGTAATTAGTCAGCATGAAAACAAACTTCATTCAATTACAGAAGTTCCTCTTCAAAATAAATCTCATTCTGACTAAACTTTCCCAGGTGCAAAGGTAATCACACCTTCCATCTCAGTCAGATCATTATTGAACAATGAGCAACAACAAACCCATGTGATTTGAAACAAATACACAATGGTGACATTCAGAGCAGAAACCAAGTACTCTGTTTACCTGCAGCACTGTAATCGTAATCAAATGCTTCAGGATAACACCTCAGATCTAAAGGAGGCTCATCATCATCCTTGTCCGGAACAACTTTGGCGTCATCTGTTAATTTCCTATAGAGGACAAAATGAACAAAGTTGTATTAAATTCAATAATAAATCCCATAGTAACAGCAACAATGGTAACAACACAAACATCACTGAAAAGGATGATGACAACAACAATATGTATCCCTTTACCGAGTAGACGTGTCAAATTTTAACAAAGCAAAATAAATTTGGACACGTGAAAACAGCTCAAATAAATGACATTCTATTTATAGCAAATCAACATGGCAAATAAAACGCCACTGGTTGGCGCAAATTGCATTCTTAAAGTATAGTTAACTATTCTCAACTAAATCCTCTCTCCTTGA